TCTCCAATGCTAGACTATTTTCGAAACTAGACATTCGTAGTGCATACCACCATATGTCACTTATTCCCAATTGTCGGCATTCGACATGATTTATCACACAAGACGGGTTGTATAAGTACACAGTGTTAGCGATGGGCCCTAGCAGTGCACCAGCCGCTTGGCAAAAATTTGTCAACTTATCCTTATCCAATTTTGTAGAATGTATTGTTTACATGGATGATATTGTTTTTGGCAACAATAATACTGAATATGAGGAAAAGCTTCACAAGGTAATACTTAAGCAGAAGGAGCTCAATCTTCGCTTGAATACTAGCAAGTGTCAATTCCCCGTGTCTGAAGTGGGCATATGATTGCTACTCGTGGTATTACACGAAATAGTCAGAACAGCAGAACTATCCTTGATTGCTCCAAACCGTGCAACAACACACAGGTGAAACATTTCTTGGGTCTGTGTTCTAACTATCTCCGACAGTTGTCCAATTTTGCAGCAATCACTGAGGAAATTAACATGCCAAAAAGAAGAATTCCACTGGGCTACTGAACAAGAGGAATCTTAGCTGGCCATCGAACGATAGTTGCGTCTGCCCCTTCGGTAGCCATTTTCAACAAGCAGTGTCTAACGTTTGTTTGCACAGATGGTTCCGATGTTGGTTTAGATATCGTGTTGTCCCAGTTAGACGAGAGTGAGGAGAAAGTAATAGCATATGCCTCACGAACTTTGTCGGAATTACTCTACTGGTGAAAAAGAGGCTTTGGCTTGCATTTGGGCCTGTGAGAAGTAGCACTTTTACTTATTCGGGCGTCTACTAGTTTTGCGTACTGAACACTACCCTTACGACCCTACCAAACTGTGGCAATAAGGGTCAAAAGCCGGTGCGTTTTAGCCGCTGGTACTCCCGTCTACTTAAGTACGACTAAGAAATCAGATACTTACTGGGTGATGCTAACCAGGTGACCGATGCACTTTCCCATCTTCCACTACTAAATGAAGGGGAGAACGACGACTTAGATTAGGTGACAATTACTTCCCATCTCTCAACCGGAGCATCCGCTGCTATAACGCTCGACCGGATAAGTGAAATTTAGGAAGTATATGCTTAATGTCTGGCCTAGTCACACTCGAATCCAACCGGTTACTGACATACCATATTCTTCGCCATGAGCTTCCTATAGTATGCAATTGCATTAGGATAGGCGAACAGCTCGTGATTCCTCAGAGTCTTGTTCCGGTGGTGATCGATTGCGCAGATGAGATTCGTCCCGTTATTGTGCGAACGAAGGCCAGAATAAGCGACTAGTATTGGTGGCCGAAGTTAAATTCCAGTGTGGCTACAGTTCGAGAGCACAGCGCTTGCCAATAATCCGACAAGAGCGCGAAGCTCTTGGAAGCTTCAATTTAGCCCACTGAGTATCCTATGAAGCCTTGGGCTAAAATTGACATCGATATCACGGGTCTATTTGCCAACGCAATCCTCAGAAAGGTAACGTGCTGGGTGCCACTTGCTTTTATAGCAAATGACCAGAAGCTATTTCATGCGGAGAAGTAATTATAGTTGTGATTACAAAGTGGCTGTAGCATTTATTCACAAGGTATGGACGGCCAGAAGAAATCCTTACCGATAATGGGCCCGTTTAAAAATAATGAGTTTGCCGAATTTCCTCGAAGTAATGATATCAAACACGCCAGGACAGTGCCTTATAATCCGGCTGCTAATGGAGTGGTTGAGCTGCTAAATCAGACATTGAAGGAGTCTATAAAATTCCTTCATCTCTCGGGAGAATCTATGAAGGATGCCTTGGTATTAGGTTTGGCTACATACAGCCATAACGGTTGTTACATGTTGTTAGTGTCCATACATCCGTTTAAACTACTGAGTTGCTCTAGTGCTGTCAAGGACACAACAAGGATCAACGGCAGTTCCAATCCGCATGCATTCCGGAGCTAATTCCATCAGGTTAACACTGGATATGGAAGGTGTTACCACAAGTGACTAAAAGCCCTCCTCTAATCGCAGGCATTCTGTGATTGCCCTCAGACATAGTGATGGCAAAGCCGGAAACCGATGCCATTAGACATTTTCTTTACCTCCTTCACCCAAAAATTACGCTATATCATATTCAGGTCAAGTCCGCTCGTCTGAATTCCAGTGCGTGTGAAAAAAATGAACTGTACTGAAAAATTAATTTCAAGCGTTTTAATACTTCCTTCTGACTCGGACAATACTTGGGATGAACATTCCATCTACTTCAGGATATGAAGGCCGGATTTCGCTTGTGGCACCGTAACCGTCAGAGAGTGAACAGACGCCAAAGCCAACACAGTCTGGGTAAATACGTGTCCGATAGGTCCCGGTGGTGAAACAATTCCCCACCTGTCTCATGCTCTACCATTCAGATGAGTCCACCTATTCATAAAAAGTTCCGCGTTTTCTAATCGCACACAAGGTAGGAAGTAGCCGTACTGTATGCATTAAATACTTCGAAAGCATTGCAAGTCAACCTTAGTCAAGTGTGATACCCTGAATACAAAGTTCCTTTCTTAGTAGCATCTGAGGAAGCAACAGGCCTCTGTGAAATCGCATTTAATAAACAACTTCATAAAGCACAGTCTTCGTCCTGGAATAAGCTTTAGATGAGTGTAAACAAGCCGTTATGAAACCTGAAGCACGTCGTTATACGCCTTGACAACCTAAGCCGAATCAATTCAACAGGCTGGTATCGTCAATATAATGAATCGGTGAACTTTTAAATCCCACTAATAACTGTCTATGACAAAATCTGTTTCATGCAAGGAAGAGAGCTCTGTTGGGAACTAAGCGTTCTAATTATGTGCAGCGGCATTTACTGCGAGGGCGCATCTGGTACTGCAGCCGTCTGCTCCTTCGACAGAAGGGGAGAAAAAGGCATAAGTTCACATTCGACGCAACAGCATTCGGAACTGGAGCTAATGTCGTAGTGATATAGATATGGATATGTAGTTACAACATCAAAAATGACCGATGGAGCTCGTTTTCTTTAACCAGCAGACCGCTATCTACGTGTGGGTGAAATAGTATTAGTCGTATTATAATATTCCGATGGCATGATAAGAGTGGAACTGAAGAAACTTGAGAAATGTCACCGAACATAACCAAGTGGATCAAGGAATCCTAATAATCCTCCAGAACCGCGTCAGGCTCAAAAATCATCGTGACAGACTGAAGGACGGCGTGGGTTCCGGAACGCTGGTGAACTATCAATTCAGTCTTCGATGGATGACAGCCATCGCGGATTGACAGTTGGCTCCAAAACAGTTGTTATATCACCTTTCCACGCATACCCGCTTTATCATTCCAAAGTTGAGGAAGATAATAAACAAAAGTCACACAGGCTTTTCAACAGTCCTGCTCTTTGTGCTGGCCACAAGAGTAATGGGCACTCGAGTTCGAACTGGACATCGGACGGTAGGCTAGAGGTGGAAAGGGACCAATGTCCACACGTAGTCCCTACGACTAATCGTAAACTCTTCCAGATGGAACAACGCTGACCCGCAAATGCATGACAAGATTACATATTTGCAATATTCCGGAAATTCGCCCAGACTAGCTGAATTCGTCTTGGAAAAGTATGGCTAAAATAACTGCTAGATTGAACAAGTCGGTGGTCAGTGTGAAGTGCCGGACTGCAAGCTTAAATCGTTTGCTTGAACCGTGGACACATCAAGTGTTGGGTGTGGATACCTTTGAAAATGTAGTTTTCGTCCATTGAGAAGTATCGCATTCCAATGGCAGAGTAAAAAAGGCATCAGCAGTACATTCGTATGCAGTAACGACGCTGCGCTGCCGCGCAACCACCACCGGTCGCCCGTGCAGTATTCTTAAATACTGCAAGGGTCGCCCGGTTCCCACGTAGGCTCGAACTCGCGACCACAGATTATAAGATAGTATTGTGATCCCTAAGAATGTGTCAATAACTGATCTATTGGACTGGTTTAACCCTTATTGACAGGGAAATCAACAGAAGACATCACTTGGTTGAGTTTTTAGAGTGAGTCTGCACGCTACGCCAAATTTGGACTATGTGATGGTTCGCAGGGAAGGAGGAGACCACAACACTAGATAACAACTTCTTACCAACTGCTAAAATGGCTACACATGCTTCACGACTCTAATAATGTGTTCCAGTTGGCCAACCTAAACGAAGGGGCTTCACGTAACGGCATCTCGATGAAGCACAAAACACTCGGGACCCGGCTGTTAAGGAGATTATATCCGAGTAGAACTGCCGCTATTCGTAAGCGTTGGTGAAGTGGAACGAACTCCTGCCGGTAGATGACGGTGTAGCTCAACCGAATAGCAAGTAAAACGAAATAAATTTAAAATGACTAATTGGTTCAAATCGCAGTAAGAATCGACACAAGTGGCCAAAATTAGGGAGATGCTGGACGGCCACATCAACAATGTGTGGAAATCGAACGCCCTGAGCCCCTTGATGAAAAATACTATGGCTTCAGAAACGTTACGAAGACGGTGGCTGTAGACATGGTTAGGTAGCTACGCGCGATACGTATCAATAAAAGTGTGGAGTCCACCAATTTACCGTGTGATGAGCTAGACTGAGATTAAGCCACGACTGATTCCGTTGGTATTTTGACCCCGCAGCTAGACAGCCTAGTGACTGGGACATTATCCATCTACGCCACTGTGAGGATCTCCACTCACAAGTTCCGCTGTCTCTCCACAAAGAGTATAGACAACGACACAGTGGCTAATAAAGTGTAGTGCTTGTAGTCACAAGCACCAACGTCTGTACCTAGAAAGCTAAACAGATCAACCCTTCCGAGTGAATGTTGCAGGTATTCAGAACTGATGGCGCATACCAATCTAGTCACTTAGCAGCGGACACCGAATGTGCAAAGCGCATACCAAGGCGGGTAGCGTACTGCGTCTGGTGTGGACAGATTGCATTCAGCATATATGATTTATTTCTATAACAGATAAACAGCATAAAATTCCGGGGAACTATGAAAAATCAAGCATCTGAGCACACCAACGGTTGGTAGCCTTTACAGAATCCGCGAGGAGCAGAACTCGATGAAGAGAAGCCTTCACACTTTTGCCCACCTTCTTCTGAGTGGAAGCGTCGCGACCTGAGAAATCAGGAAACAGAGAGAAGGTTGACGTTGAGAAAAGGATAAAGAGGCCGACGAGTAGCAGATGATAAGATGGAAAAGTGGAAATTATTTGCTTGTGAAGGTAGTTAATCACAATCGACAGATAACAAAAAGTTCTGTACTCCGTCGATGAATGTCCAAGACATAAACGAGTAACATTATGAGCACACACTTATGAAGGCAAGTAAATGGGTGCATCACACGAGCCGCTAGCTAACAGACTAAAGCCGATTCAGGCTGTTCGAGAACGACTCGTAGGTGATGGCAAGCCGTACCGGGGAGTGACGATGAAGAGTTGATAAGCAGCAAAAAGCAGCAAAAGCAGTGATACCACATATCACCTTTAACAGTTGTAATTGATCGCAAGTAAGAGATTTCTCTATCTGGCTAACACAAGAAACGCTAACAAGTCCGGTAATGCCAAGAGGATCTTCTGAAGAAGGTGAAAACCCCTCTCTACGCTCAGTTGACGGAGTCGAGTTTTTTGTGGTCAGTAAAAAGGGCGATCTAAAGTGTATAACAGGTCAAATGGGTGCAAAAGATATGGAACAAATAGAACGGTTTACAGATGAAAAGTAGAAAACAGAAAAATATACGAAATGGTAGGATACGCAGAGACGATCAGTAAAAAGACGCCACTAGACCAGAGAAAACGTGACGGTCAGTAGTAACGTGCGCTGTACCTAAACTAGAAATTTGGTGGGACTGTTCCTTGAGTCAAAACCGGTCCAGTCTACATCCAAACCAATCAGGCAAACAAAGTTCTAATGGAAGAGCTCGTAGTGATCACAGCGTTATCAATTAAACGGCCCAGCCCCTATTGGCGCCACAATTAAAATGTACAGTAAGTAACCCGGCCAATATGTGTGTATTACGTGAGTAGTTGTAGGAGGATTTGAATGGCATAAGTAGTAATTCACGCATCTAGACACAATCTGACAGCAATTACAAGTCCGGAAAAGCGTTGTACGGACCTGTCGTCTTCTCTGGAATCGTCAGCAGTGCGTGTTCCACTTGACTCCTATGGGACTATAACTCATAACTGGATTGTTACCAGTCTGTGGTTAAGACCAGTGAAACACGATGACGGATCGCTATACCACATTTAGTCACTTTGCCACATCGGTAGTTCCTGGCCCCCGTAGGTCGGTGATGATAACCACATACTGGTTACAGTCGAAATACAGATTCTAGCCCCAAAGAGGTGAGATGGAATACACATAGTTGACGATTCCTGTAAGGATGAAATGGCCGCATAGTGCTTTTCCGGCTGTCTAACAGTCTAGATGACAAGAATTACAGCATGCGCCATCTGTGCATTAATCAAATAACTGAAAAAGTAGGTCACGAAACCTATCGAAGAAAAAAATAACCTTTGAGAAGCAAGTGAAACGGTATCAATTATAACTACGTCCGAGTGCGACAGGAGTGATGCAGTGAGCCGTTCGAGAACATCTATCGGATGTCCATAGCGATGGTCCAGTGTCTATTAAGTAGACAATGCAAAGAGCTCTTTAATAACAAAGCATGCCAAGATTTTTTGGAATGTGCATGCTGGGGCCTATAACAATCAGAAGAATAATACATGAGCGTTCCGGACAGTGTATTGACTTAGTGTCACATCACCGAACACCGACGAGAAAACCGATAAAACGGAATAAGGTAAGATGATGTATCACACCGGGGCGTCCAAAGATGGGTGATATCAATAAGATGAATCACAACCGATCCGTAAAGGTGAGAGTAGTTCACAGTCAGAACCAAGTACAACGGCGTTGTGCGTGTAGACGACGGGTGTCATAAGATGACTGAATGAACAAGTCAAGTGGACAATCAGGGATTTTTACAGTGTCGCAACGAGAATGGACCTTAACGTGGTGTGACGGTTTGCGTACCTCCTTAACCCATACTGCGTGATGCCTCACGGCAGCTTGAGAGATACCCTTACCACGTTGGTCAATGGTGAGTGGTCAGACAAACTCAGTCTCCTGGTCCTCCAGGTTAGGGGTTTGAAATCGAATAGCGTCCATTTCTGTAAAGCTGCATCATTGCCACCTCTCCGCTGCCTTGCAGACAGGCTTTTGAGCCAAAGGCTTTGGATGAGGACCCTAATCGTCCTCCTGCCTAGGTCTGGACGCCCTGGCAGTATCTCAGCCCACATACAACCATGACATCTTCTTCAAACATAAACTTCATCCCGCATCGGCCGTCGCGCATATTATCAAGAGCTGCCTTATCTGCTGCATACATCAGGGCGGAGAAGCAAAAACACGCTACTGCTGGCGCATCCATTCTTTCTTTTCCACATATTTCTCTTACACCAATCCCGACCCCCATTACTAACCTTCCTTCTATAATTCCCAGCTTAATTGACAGCAACCGAAATGCCACTGGAGTAAAACCATATACAGCCACCATTCCACCGCACCTATCGGACGCCTATCGGCAAAAGTCCCTTATAATGCCAAGCATTCCCGTTTCCATGACGACGTTCAACGTTCGCACTCTAAGACAAACAGGTCAACAGGCTGCACTCGCACGCACCTTGGACACACTGGGTATTGATGTGTGTTGTGTGTCCGAAACTAGGATCAATGACCCTAATGGGGTTGCTGAATTAACTGCACCCGGCTTATCCTCACGTTATTGGTTGCACGCATACGGAAAAGCCGATGCAGCACTCACGGGTCCAACTGGTGTAGGTATCATTCTAAGCTCCAAGGCTGAGCCATCGTTGGTTGATTGGATTCCGGTGAACAGCCGTTTATGTGTAGCCCGTCCGACGACATCAGCTAAGGTTCAATCACGAAGTAGTAGAAAAAGCTGTTTGTTTGTGAGTTCCGCTTGTACTACTACTGACTGCAGTTTTAATGCGGTCAAGGACACATTCTATCACGAACTGAACGTGCTACTACGCAGTGCTACTAGTTCAGACATTATAGTACTTGCAGGGGATATGAACGCACAAGTAGGGCGTCTGAGCTCTTCAGAAACTCAGCTGGGTAGTAATTATGGGCTTAACTCCGAACGGACTGACAACGGTGAGCGTCTGCTGCAACCGTGTGCGGAGCACCAGTTGTTTCTTAGTAGCACCGCTTTTAGACACAGTGGGCATCGAAGTGGCACTTGGCGTCCTCCTGTAGCTGGCCAGCAATGGACCCAAATTGATCACATTGCCATAAGTTACAGGTAGCGTGGTTCCAACCGGATTGCCGCTCGAACTAGAGTACCTGCGTCGACTCTGATCATGCCTTGGTACGTTGTCGTTTCTCCATGAACTTTACCGGGAGGCGCACTAAGCGTCTCCTCCGATTGGCAACTGAGAAATTGTCTCAGCACTCGGTCATGCAAGCTTATCAAGACACACTACGTACCAAACTTTCGCTGTCTTGTTCTAATGACACAGAGCTCCAGTGGAACAGGACCTCGACCGCAATGCACGACGCAGGAGCATCTGCTTGTGGCACTAACAATCGACACCACACCAGTCAATGGATATCCGAGAGGTCGATGAACCTGTTGGAAGCTAGAAGAAATCTCCCGGCTGGCTCTGAGCGCAGTGTGACCAGACGGGCTATTAGGCGCGAACTAAAGCAGTGCCTACATGCTGACAAGGAAGTCTGGTGGAACACTCTGGCTCAAGAAATGGAGGAGGCAGGAGCAGTATGCAACTACCGCAAGCTCTTCCAGCTGATCCGCACCACTGGTCCCAGGAAACCAGGCGTCCGTGAGACAATCAGAGACAGCGCGGGTGCGCTGATACACAATAAGGAGCCTTATCAAATTTACAATAAGGAGCGCCGTATGGCTCGTTGGGCGGAACACTTTCAAGATCAATTGAGCTGCTTCCCTGCTCCCGGACCTCTTCCTACTCAGGTGATGCAGGACGACCATGGACAGTTAGTTTAGAGCCTCCGTCGGAGGCCAAGGTCCGAAACGCGATCACAGCCCTCAATCGTTTTCATACCCCTGGTCCGGATTCCCTCCCACCTGCACTATTTAAGGATGGAGGTGAGGTCCTCTGCAAAGCACTGACCTCCCAATTCGAACGTATCTAGAAGGAAGAGGGTCCCGGCTAATTGGAGAGAATTGATTATAGTGGCAAGAAGGGCAACCGCACAGACCGTTCTAACCACAGGGGTATTAGCCTAACACTAGTTGTGACAAAATTGCTGACCTCGATTCTCGTTCGTCGCATCCCTGTGGAATGGGAATCGCGGATTAGGGAAGAACAGGCAGGTTTTCGCCCAGGACGTGGCCGTATAGACCATATATTCACTATGCGGCAGGTGCTAGAGCAACGCCACGCATACCGCAGATCGACAATAGCTGTGTTCCTCGATTTCAAGAGTGCGTTCGATTCAGTCGATCGATCGATTCTGTTCGAAATACTTGCGCGGAAAGGTGTTCTCACGAAAGATGTGAACATATTAGATGTTCTATACTCGAACGCTACAGGCTGCGTCAGTGTCTACGGTGACCTATCGGATAGATTTCCGGCAACAAGTGGCGTTCGTCAGGGTTGTCCGACTTCCCTATTTTTGTTCAATTTTGTCGTGGATTCTATCATGGAGTGTTCCCTTGCGGAATCTCACGATGTAGGCGTTGAAGTGCTGCCTGGTGAAAAATTAGTTGATCTTGATTATGCGGACGATATCGTTTTGCTTTTCTACGATGTTGTGGCGGCACAATCAGCCCTGAATAGCCTGTCCAGAGTGGTCCCATTATTTGGTATGCACTTCGCACCTTCAAAGTACAAAGTGTTGCTGCAGGACCACCAGCCAGTTTATGACCACTTGACCCTTGCTAACGAAGAGCTCGAGGTGGTTGATCAATTCACTTATCTTGGCAGCTGCATCAGCAACGATGGGCGCATAGTAACTGACGTCAGCTCACGCATTGCAAAGGTCAGATCTACCTTCTTGAACCTGCGGCATCTTCGGCGACAGAAGGGAGTTTCCCTCCGTCTGAAAGACCGTGTATACAAGGCCACAGTGAGGGCCGTTCTGCTCTATGGGAGTGAGACTTGGCCCCTTCGGTCTGAAAATCTGAGGCGCCTTCAAGTCTTTGATCATCGTTGTCTGCGAAGCATTGCTAGTGTCGGATGGCACTAGCGTGTCCGCAACGATGATGTGCGTAGGCGAGTACTAGGTAGTGACAATCATGCTAGCTCCCTAGACCAGCAGGTAGCATTGAATAAGTTGCGTTGGCTCGGGCACGTGCTACGTATGCCTGGTCACCGCTTACCTAGGAGGGTCTTGTTTAGTCTGCCAGGTGTAGGGTGGCGCAAGGCCCGAGGTGGACAGAAGTTGACTTGGCAGCGGGAAATGAAGTTATTGACGAACAAACTGGGTGCCGTTGGTCCGTCTCGCCTTCCGGGCTGGAGTCCAAGTGACTCGCCTTGTGCTTGGCTCGAGACTTTACAGGACATGGCTCGCAACCGACACCAGTGGCGCGTCTGCTGCCGTCTCCTAATCGGATTGCCTGTTTAAAGTGTGTTTGGTGTTGAGTTATCTGCCGGGTAATGGCTGATTATGACGCGGGGCAGTGAAAGCCGCAAGGAAGCTATCTCGCCGATGCCGCCTTATCTTTGCACGATAGCCAGCTGTTTGTGACGGTATGTTCTCTACACAAGGTGCAGGCGCCTTGACCCTGAATGTTTGTTTATGGCATTAAGGTTTTCAGGTAAGTCCCCCTAGTCTCCCTCTTATTATTCTTTATTTCATAGGTCATCATGGTTGTATGACAGCGAAGCATCAGTTCAAATGGCTGATGTACTGCTGTTGATGATAATGATGTTGATGATAATTCACAGTGTGCATAATCGCTCTTGGATGAGATTGCCAATATGTGCATTGAAGTGAGCACAAGTCAGGTCGCTACATGATACAATTCCTCGGTAAGGAAATTGAGTTCCACCGTTGTCACTCAAGATAATTCATACTTCACTCGAGTGGTAGCTAGTGAGAGTACACGCACGCACTTAGGTACGGTGGAAGTAATTTCATTGGCGTACGAAGTACTTTGAGCGAATAAAGAAGGAACACGATTTTACAAAAGAATTTAATCGTATTATGGATGTAGCTGATAGAGGAGTTGCATGGGGAACATTTACCGGTGTGACGACACGGTAATGAGGAAAGAGGGATCAAAAATCCGTCTAAAAGCGAAGCCTAATAATAGAATAAGATGGATGCCAATGCAATTTTAGCCATGGTGGTATGTGAAGCTTCGGTTAAGAAATATCGCGAGCACTTCTGAGTAATGCAGAAGTGGCGACAGGAGACCATAGCGAGAATTCAGAAATTTAATGGCTGAGACCCGGTCAGCGGTCGAATTCAGAAGAGATCAATCATAGCACCGGTTTAACATTAAAGTCGTGCAAACCGTTCAAAGCAAAAAACACGCCGTGGAAAAGGAGAGGATTATATGTGAGGAACTACAGAAGTTGTAGCCAACATCTGGAAGCACTTACGAAATAAGTCGATAAGAGTGCGTAGTTCCTCCTCGCTGACAACCGCCGCATCGTGGAGAAAAGTTTTCTCTTCGAGGCACAGCCAATGCTGTATCACTTGGGAAACAACCTCGTGAAGGACCAAGTCAATGCGCTGAGACAGAAATTCAAACATTGAGAACTGATTACAACAGTTTCAGAATGAAGGCGCATCAAAAAACAACATCGCAGCTTACAGTCTGCCTAACAAACAGTTAGACAGCAGATATTTCAAATTCGTTCGTTCATGCGTCGGCCGTGATTACTGCGCGCACAGTCGCATAATCTTCTATTGGTCAGGTGCAGTCAGGCGATAGGAGGTCGGGTTTAAGTGTGGAGCCAAATGCAGGCATGCTGTGGCAAAAGAGTGCCAGCCGCACATGCTCGAGAAAAATCTGTCGCCCGGGCGATGATGGAATGCATGACGAAGGTGAGACTAATGAGCCTTCGGTCACCAGTTGCGGGGTAGAATAAGGTTGGGTCGATGTAAGACAAGGGGCTGGAGCAGGCTCCATATTATTACTTTAACAGAGCCTGTCGGCGAAAAGAGCTGTTATTGGTTCGCATTATATCGCGGTCGGCAGTCAGTGCGGATAGAATGACCAGATACTGGTCATGAGGTACCTGTCCAAAACATAAGTATGCATGCCTTTTCTTGGTAGCGGGAGCCTGTGATATGGTATAGGAGCGCAAGTACGCACGACTGGTATGAACGACGTTTGGTAAAGCAATGGTGTGATTTGTTTATGAGTTTTCGCGATAGAAAGAAATCTGAGGTCCATCTTTACACTAATTTCTCCATGATTTTGAAGAGTTAGTCACTTTATCTTTAGTACTCTTCTAATACGTGGGATAACTATGACATGCTTCCAGTGAGATGGAACGCAGCTGGACTGCATGGATAAATAAAATATGATTTGTAGGAAGAGAGGAATATCGGGATCTCCTTGTTTCAGCAGTACTGTGGGAAGGTCATCAGGACCTTCTCAGTAGGTAGGATTTACAAGGCTAATAGGTTTCTTGCAGGCATTTCCCTTCACGAATTTCAATAAAGCAAGAAGAAACATGTTAACAGAATTTACTGAATTCAGCAATTTCGCGTATTCTCCTCAGCTGTTTACATACAAGTAGTGGAATACACAGGCTACATAGCAGACAATCAAAGTGCGATGTTAACGGCAAAATATCCAAAGCGGTCGAAGGCCCTTAGGCTCACGTGACCCGTTCCGAGAAAAACGCAATCATAAGTCTCACCAGGACAGGGCTAGCGTGGTCACGAAATCCGTTTGATTGCACAGATTTGGTTTCAACCGCCGAATTGCTGACGCCTCCGCAAACTGAAGTAAGCGAGGAGTAGCTTGTTTGCTAACTACCCTGAAATTGCCACATGAGTTTTGGCATTCAGGGCAGTCAAGTATGTGGCGGGCAATAGAGCTAGTCGGTAGCTGCAGGCTATGAGCGATCATGTTTCGCGGAACATGCTCTGCAATCCTCGCTGGCAGTCTTCGCTCAGTTCGGCCTATGTACTTGCTACCGCGTACCGTTAAAGAGGTAAATACATGAGGTGGTAACTTGAGAGTCCGGTCTGTCCAGGTTGGATTTACAGAGCCACCTTCTGACTAGATGCAATACCACTAACTCAGTCGCATAGTAACATTTCTTAATCGATTGACGGAGTAGATGCTTGCATCGTCTGTCTCTCCTTTGAACTGCAGTGTAATGAATACCTTTCCTTCGGGACATCGGTTGGTGGTTTATCTCTGGATTGTATTTTCGTGTGCCGTGCTATGAATCGCGCGGGATATCCATTATCTTGTAGTGTCGAGGTGACCTGTTCCAGCTCACATTCGATTGTGTCTAAAGAGCAAATCTGATGAGTACTAGAAAAAGTGGTACGTACTAAAGCTCGTTTGTAGTTTATTGGGGAGAAGCTATTAAAGTTCAAGTATTGTCCTGTCCATGTTGGTTTCCTGTACACAGATCGAATGAATGTACCATCTGGCTTTCTCTGTAAGTTAACATCTAAGAAATGGAAAGATCCATCAGACTCGTTTTCCACTGTGAACTTGATGGCTGGATGGCAATAAGTGCGCCGCCTGTTGAGGTGTGTCAAGGACGATGAATGTGTCGTCTATATACCGGCAATGAAAGAGTACATTTTGTATGTAAGAAGCTAACCAGTGGCCCATGAAGATATCAGCCAAAACTGGGCCCAATAGACTGCCCATGGCCACGCCGTCGATTTGTCGATACAGGGTTACATTGAACCGGAACCGAACATCTTTTGTGCATAGGCGCAGTAATGATTCGAGCTGGAGCGCTGGGAACCCGACTTTGTCAGCTTGTTTGGCTATTATATCTAATGTTTCCTCCAAAGGGACGTTCGTGAACAATGAAGATAAATCGAAAGAAACCATGTGCTTTCCCTTTACGTTTAAATTACGTATCTTGTTGACAAATTCAAACGTGTCTTAGGCTGTAGCTCGTCAGTTCCCTCCGGATAGGCTCGATAACCCTCGCTGGCCCTCGCGCTAATTTTTGGTATGGTGTGTCTACCATTGGGACGACTAGATATCGTGGGATAGTCTCCTTATGAGTTTTCGGTAAGCCATACATGTGAGGAATTCGTGATCCCCGGGGGCGTAACTGGGTCATGGATTTGACATACATCAATCCGGCCTTCACTAGCTTCTTCAATTCACGGACAATTAACTCCTCCATCTGCTCGGTTTGTCTCGGTTTGTCAAAGCACGAACAAAGCGATTAGAAACCGCAAGAATCGATTGGGCTTTCTGAATGTAGTGTTGCTTTTCCAAAATCACAACTCCTGATCTCTTGTCGGGTCTCAGTATTACGAGATTTTCATTTCGCCGCAGTTACATCAAGGATTCCCTATGATCCTTCGTAAGGATTCTGTACTTTTCCGCTTCACTGACACATAACTGGTTAAGCAAATCTACCATTTTAGCTCTAAACCAGCCGCTTGCATCCTCGCTGACTGGTGTTAAAATGAACAGTTGTTCGTACAAATGTACAAACTGAGCTTCAATCCCTATTCTGTCACATCTGTTTGGTGGAACTGAAAAATTGGAACCAAGGGATAAAGCTTCAAGTTGGTGACTTGACTCAAAGAGGTGGTTGATAGATTTAACACATACTTCTCAGGTTCTAACGGCATCTGATCGTTGAAACATGCTGGTGCAAGCAAACGGATTTCGTGACCACGCTAGTTTCTGGGTCACAGGATCGATGGTGATGGCATCAAACCTCTTCCGGATGAGACCCAAGCAATCCTAGACTACTCCATGCCACCATCTGTCAGAAGTCTACGCCGATTCCTCGGCATAGTCAACTACTACGGTAGATTCATTCCCAACTCTGTGGACGTCCGTTACATCGACGGTCCCAACAAAACAATTGCTAATGCATTATCACGTGCTCATTTGAATCGTGTCACCAACACCCATCGACCTGGAGAGAGTACATGCCGCACAAGCCAATGTTCCTGAACTTATCCAACTCCGATCAAATGACTCATTAAAATACGTGCATTTACCATCTTTATGGATCATAAGCCCCATACTTTTGCTTTTCGTGGTTCCTCTGATTGCTTCTTACCTCGAGAAATTTGTCAGTTGGATTACCTATCACAGTTTGCCACCGACATTCGACGCATTGATGCAGCTCACAGTGTTGTAGTCGACGCATTGTCTGGCATTGGTCTTCACGAGGTTTCGCGCGAAGCAATCAAGCTAGATTACATCCCTGAACATCAAGATTATGGGTTTGAGCAGTTGAAATCAAATCCTTCTATTAAACTTTTAAACTGCCTGTTCTCAACTCGGACTCGTGAATTTACTGTGGTAAATCCATCGGAATGCCTCGACCATTCGTTCCGTAACAGTATCGACGAGTTGTGTTTGACCACTTGTATGGAATCTCTCATCCGAGCAGCCGCGCTACCATCAAACGGATTACGGATCGCCACATCGGCCCAGCATGCGTTCTGATATCCAGCAGTGGACGAAACACTGTATTACCTGCCAGAATAACAAGATGCGTCGCCACACGATTACTGTTCTTGGAACCTTTTGTCTGCCCGACGCTCGAGTAAAGCATGCAGAGCCGTTGATCCGATGTGTGAGTCGCTTCATTGGAGGGTGAATTGGGCATGAGGTGGAGCGGCGACGTCGCAACGGAATCGGCTTGGCTATGTTGCGGCGGCATAGCATGTAGATTTGAGTGGTCGTAGATGGAATGAAGTATCTGCGATTGCTTTGTATTTGTTGAGTAGATATATTTGGAGGCGCTTTATGGTGAGATTCATGTGCTACAACATTATCTGTACTGGAGTTGCTCAACAGCTAGCTTAATGAAAGTCCGGAGTGGGTTACTTTGGCTAACTTTACTCTCAACGGAGTGGTCAAGGAGTTTCTTACATTGCTGGCAACTAGGGTAGTCGTCGGTTGGCTGTCTGTCTGTCGTCGTGTGTGGCAGTGTAGACTGAGTATCGTGTGACCAAGAAGCTGTTCGAGACATGCGTTTCACCTGGTTGGTAGGTGTGCTGTGAGAGCGATCCAAGTCAACACGCCCTTTGAGGGCATATGATGCAGGAGTAGCGGTGTGACGCGTAGAGAAGAGTTAACTTAGCTGATTTGCACATTTGATGCTTTTGAGTGATACGCTTCTGCTGAAGCTATGGGGTTTGTCTGTTGAATCGTGTGATAATTCTGGTCTTCAAGTTTCTTGGGACTTTTGGGGTTCGTCGGGTGATTTGATGAGTAGGACGTTGAGGGACTGAGACGTATGAGTTGATGTGTACTTTCTGGACCCATGGGGCTTGGCTGCGAGTTGAGCACCGGCGTCGGGGATCTGAGCGGAGGTGGACGATCTTGCCAAATACGGTAAATCGGTGGAACGGAGCTCGCTCACATTGACTGAGGGCCAGACACCGGCGATCGAGTGACCATGCTTTCCATAATTAGTATGAATGGTTCATCTGTAGAAGATACCCTGTCTACCGAGCCTTGGAGTTTTTGTTTCCTTCCGTTGGTTGGACGCTTGGTTGAGCAGACAGGCGGTCGCAGTCCCACAGGAGAGGCAGCGCAGCAGTACAACACTAGATCATCTTAAAAG